AGCGGCCGAAGGCGTGCCGGGCCGCTGCCGGTGCCTGCCGCCTGCGTGTCCTCCGTCCCTTGGCCCTGCTCGTGGCCTTTTTGTCACCGTTGCGTGTGAATTTAAGTCTTTGCCCTTTCTCAGGGTGTCGGAAAGGTCGAGAGCTTTCCCTTCCCTTTGTGGCAGAGCAGTCTAGTCTGAACTGGGAGGTAAATCTCCCCCTTTGTTAACTTCTCCTTGGAGTTACACCGCTCTTCCATGTGGATGTATTACCCGCTTTAAGGCAGGTACCCGCATGCCAGATAAGCACAAAATAACGGTATTGCGTACATAAATTACAGAAATGGATGCTTCCAGCCCTAATCCTAGCCTTCCCCTGGGCAGAGCCTTGCAAGGGAGCTCCAGCCCTTCCAGGGGCTAAGCGTTCCCCTTTTGGCTAAACTAATTCTTTTATCGGCAGCTTCTTTCCAGCTTCACTCCAACTGGAGCTCCGAGCTTTTTTCCCAAGCTTAACCCTAACCCTAAACTGAGCCCTAGGAAAGACACAGGCAGCGCTGTCCTGGACTATCAGTTCCTCGGGGGGATATTCTTTTTGCAGCCCTTCGTTTCCTTTGGCAGCTCAACTCCAACTGGAGGTCCACCTTTTCCTTTCCACCAGCCCCAACCCTAAGCCTAGGCTGAGCCAAAGGCTTGTGACGTGGCTCATTCCAGAGCCTTAATATTACCGGGAGAAGAATTCTTTTGGCAGCCCTATTTCTCCTTTGCCAGCCCCATCCCAGCTGCATTTCAGGCTTGCTTGTTCTCACAACGCTAGTGCTAATCCTAACCCTAGTTCGAGCTATAAGCCAGGCGCTATTGAGAAACACAGCATTCTTCGGAGGAGAACTCTTCTGGCAATCCTACGTGCGCTTTGGCAGCCCCTTTCCAGCCCCGCTCTAGCTACAGCTCTGTTGTTTCTTTCAGCCTTAACGCTACACATGGGCATGGTTCTTCACAGGCAAGTAAAACAGACTGTGAGAGCCTTGAGCAGGATCAAAGACAAATATAACCAAAAAAAAAAGGGGTGTTGAATATACAATTAAGTACAGAAATAGAATGAGTGTTACAGATACACTTTTGAGGATTGTGAGATTAGCCTTTCTGTATCTTGGAACCTCCTTGTTGATAAGAAAGGAAATACAGTGAACGGCTAGTTTGCAAAATGAAAGTCAGATAAGAGAGGTCAGATGTGGGAGAGGTTTAAAAGTGCACCAGCACATAGGATCTCGAAGAAGAATTTGAGAAGAATGAAGCAGAAGAACACATGACAGAAGGGTGGAAATTCCATCAGAGGGGGCCAAATCTAATGGGATTCGAGGTCTGATTCTTACTCTGACGCTTGTTTGCTTTCCTGTGGAGTAAATGAAAATCCAGAGCTTTGAAGTCTATTGCCCTGAGGTCTCCTACAACGGAAGAAAAAAATGCCAGTTTCAGCCACAAATACGTTGTTTATTTAGAGACTTCTAGTGTTTATTTCAGAGTTTTTAACATTCTATAATTGTTAGGTACTAAAGAATTCATTATAATAATTAATATTTAAATTTATAATTCAGTTATTAATAGTCATAATTTATGCCAGGAATCAAACTTACCTCTTTTACTACAGCATGTAATCACGTAAAAAAAACCTCCTGGGACTTTCAGATAAGATCCTCAATCCAGCTCTGACCCAAATTGTTTCTTAAATAGATAGTTTTGCCAGAAGCAGCACAAATCCACGCAGGGCCCACACTGCAGCAAATTCAGCTGTTGAGGCTTTTTCACAGAAACTTGCCTGCTAGCAGATACTCCTTTTCTACTAGATGGTCAACACACGTAAATGTTCTAGCTAGCGAAATCGGTGCTTGAGCGAGAAACTGGCCTCTAATGTAAACAGGTCCTAAACCATCTAAGTTTTTGAGTTAAAACCAGCGGGTTGGATCCTGTCTGCCGGCACCACTGTGTGACAGTGTGCTCCCCCGCCCAACCTGGCCTTTATCTCCTGTAACCCTGCCTAAGTGAGAACTACCAGGATGGTCGTTCATGGATGCCGACGGTGATACTTCCTCCATTAACGATGTGGATTCGGGACCCAGATAACGACACAATAGCCCTTGGTTATCCTGAGAAATACGCCCACCTAACCACAGTTATCGGTATGCAAATATGACTGTGGGTCAATCCTCTTACCCCTATAGATCGTGAGCAGCCCAAGAGCCCCTTGAGCTCTCCTGCAGGGCAGCAGGCTGCGCGGCGAGATCTCCCCTTGAGTAGGGACGCCTCTCAAGGTTACTCCTCGAGGTTGAGAGATTCCTTGCCGCGACAGATCCTCGGTAAGTGACTAACAGCATGCTAAACTTTGAAATCTTAGCTAAGTGATACACAGGATTGATTGTGCATAGATAATCCTTTAGACATAAACCGTTGACCAAGTCTGGGATTAGGATTGGATCCAGCCGCACCTAGACTCCTCCCTGAGAAGGAGTTTAGAAAGCAAGGGGGTCCCTTCTGAACCTCATGACTCACCAGGAGGGTCTCCCTGACAGTAATGTCTGACCCTGTCCTCTATGCAGTAAAGAATTAAGTGTACCTTGCCATCGAATCTTGTTCACTGTCGCATTTACCATTGAACTTTGTTAATTCACGCTTTAACTCACTGTTTTCTATCAATAAAGTGTTGTTGCTTCTCTCTTAGGAGTGAAGTGCAGTCCCACTCCATCCGCGACAGACTGTTACAAGACCATTTCTCTCAGACAGGAAGGCAGCAGCTTCAGTCCCTCCGCCACCTGGTCTTACTGCAGAGCCTCAAAGCAGCTGGCTGTGCTTTTGCAGTAGTTCCAAGCTCACGCTGACGAAAGCATGGATAACAGCGTGACAGTGAGGCTCATATAAACAGGAAAGCTTGTACCGACATAAAAACTTCCTACAATTTTAATTTTAACAGGCCATGTTTTCACCTACAACGTTTTGCATTTGCTGGAAATCTTACAGTTCTCTAAGCAGGGTCAAGTACAGCTTGATATTAAAGGGTTAATGTCCAATTAGAAATTTTGCAAGATCCGAAAACACC